CGTGGCCACAGTTGCATCTGTGATTCTCTCTCCATTGCGACGATACATCATGGACCATCATGGAAGACAAATTGAATCTGCTTTCATCTTTGAAGAGCACACGAGACCATTGACGCTGATGTCTACTCCATCTCAAACGCGCCAGCCTGTGACGTGGTGTTAGCGAACTGCAGATCACCAACAGCGGAGTCCGTCTGTCCTTAAACGTCGACGTGCGGTGTTCCTGGATATCCTTACGTTATTAGCACTGAAGTGTTCAATCTGAAGATCTGCTGCGTTAAGGAATATGTTACGTTATTGTTTCGAATAGTTTTGACCTTGTCGACGTGCATATTCCACGAACCCATTGGCTTGAAATGTCTGCCACAGTCTACCAATAGCACTCTGACACTCAGTAAAGCGGACAGCAACCTACCGCTGAGTTTGACCAGATTCCAAAAGGCCTATATAGAATGAACCCTTTCAGCAAGTGTCAAAAAACGTCTCATTTTAAGCTGCGATTTCAAACAGGTACCGGAATAGTGAACGACAGTGAAAAAGCATCAATGCATGTGTATTGTCCTCCACGTTCCATGGACAGAGCGACTTGCAAGTGCCATTATCTGCATTTCCATGTTGATAATGTGAATACAAGATGTGCCATTTGTAACAGAATGTATCGCACGTTAAAGAACGTAATAATGACATTTCAATGGCCTGATGTGTTTTCCCATACTGTTAAGAAAGTTTGTAAAACATTCAGTTCTATATATTTCAAACAAAAACGAAGATTTTACAGCTGTTAAAAAATAGTGTTGCCATTGACCCTTCATTCATGACGCCGAGTATATATGATTCTCACTATCTTCACTTATGGATACAAGGATGGCCTGTGCTTCCATCTTTGGCTCCTGACAATAGTTCCATATTTACAATAAGTATGCCTTTGAATATATTCTGAAACAAAATAACTGAGAGCTCTTCATCATTGCTACTAAGGGGGTAACAGTGGTACGTGAGTCCATGAAATAGACCTATACACCGTGGTCCTGTGTTCTATATGTATAAATAGGGATAATGTGTCCATTTATATAGTGCCAAAGTCCACACCAGGTATGTTCATAGCGCTAACAATCAATAAAGCATTATTGAAGTCCATTGATGTAGAACTTTTTGTAGACAAGGGTCTTGAGATGACGCTTAAAGTTTTCAAAGGTTGGAGACAGCTTAAGCATCTTTGATAGTTGTTTGGTACTTTATAGATATTGCTTAGTACCTCAAACAACCGATCAGGTCACACCTTTTGGGAATAATGCAGTACGGTGACACATCGGAAGTCCGGATGTTACCCCAGTAAGTTGGTCTTCAGTAGGTTACCACTACCAGTGGTCTTAGCCCTGTTCCAATTTACACTAAGACAACGGATGAAAAATTGATTTTCAATATTGATGCAGTTTGATTTACATCTGAAATGTGATACGTTTCCTTACTCTTTTACTATCCTTTGTCGACAGGTATTTAGTAAGAAAACTTGTTACTGGTTTACTCCTTTGAGTGAGTGAGTGTGGGTTTACGCCGCTTTTAGCAATATTCCAGCAATATCACGGCGAGGTAACCAGAAATGGGCTTCACACATTGTGCCCATGTGGAGAATCGAACCCGTGTCTTCTGCGTGACGAGCCAACGCTTTAACCACTAGGCTATCCCACCGCCCCTACTCCTTTGAACATCCGTGACACTAAACAAGGTGTCCCATTTACTGATGTCATGCTTCAGCATGAGCGAACACGTAATTCGTGTTTTCTTTTTGCTGAAGGTATGCTGTTTAATGCTATGTACTCACCACCTCCATCTTTCTGCTGACAAATTCAATCGAGATTGAGAATTCGCATAACGTCACGAGGTGATTTCTCAAGTGCCAGGCAAACGTTAATCCAGAAATGATTATTTCAGTTGATGCACCTTGGAATCTGAAAACGCATAATCGACTCACTGAAATATGCTTATGCACTACGACATTCCGGACTCACGAATGTCACTGAATCGTGCCTAAGTCTGTTCTTGGCTATTGCATGGTTTTAGAAACTGAATAAACTGAATCGGCAGTTGATGTAGAAATGTCATGTTTATTCTCTTTATGTTTTTACTAAAATCCAATTACATTACTGCAACAAGATTGAATATATTACAATACATACATATTGACATTTTGGAACCAGTAAATGACCGCGTAAATGCTACATGCAACGCATATTGAAACATGTAGTTTGTGATTGACAACCAAACTGAGCTGTATACTGGTACAAATAAGAGGCAGCAGTAACTACTAACATACTCTTTAAAAATATGCTTTTGCACTTACTTCTTTCCGGACCCTTGCCTGCGTTTCTTCTTGACTGTTGAATGGTTTTGGAAGCTGAACAGGATGTTGTCGAATCGGCAGCTGGTGTAGAATTGCCATATTTCTTCTCTTTATTGTTTTACGAAAAATCGATTAGATTAATGAAACAATCTTGAATATATTACAGTTCATACATATGTACATAGTTCTAAAGAAAAAAAAATGTTTTGCATACATTATACAGGTATATTTTATCTGAAACAGTGTAACAGAGGGTGTTTTTACTGGAAGAAAAGCATCAAAGCGTTTAATTAACATAACATAGTCGGGCACCAGGTGACGGTATAGTCATAAACGGTTATTGCATGACTCTCATTTTCATATTCTGATCATACAACCAGTGCAAGATGTTTTCTCAGCTTTCATGTTACCATATCCGATATTACAGACAGATTTATTTAGAAATATTTCGTTTAATTATTACTAATTCAGCATCTTATGACAATTTTAAGAAGGGCGTAAAATCCCATCTCTTTAAATCTCCCTACACTCAGTAGCATGTGTGACTCTTTCTGTGAAGTGCCTTACTTTCTAAATCATATCACACTGTAGGAACAGTGAACGGCAGGAAACATTTCATAACAGGAAGTGAACGATTTATCACACGAGGGTGTAGGAAAATTGTCAATATCTATATTTGTATAGGCCACACTGTCCCCAAAATTTATGCTGCAAAAATAGAAGACACATGTGCGTCATTCCACCAAATATCTTTCCATTCTGTCATTATATTCAGGGGCGTATCTGAGCCAATTATTATGTGTAGGCAAAACGTTTAGAATGCACGCATACCCCTATCCCCCTCCCCAACACATTTTTTAAATATGCATGATAAAAACGTGATTTATGCTCTGCTTGATTTTTAGGCCATTTTTTATAATTAATCCTAAGTTAAACATTTGTTGAATTTAAGTTGAAATTTTGCATTGTAATACCCCCACCAAATATAAACTCTGTCAAAAAAGAAACGCAACCCCTGTCCTCAGATATGAAAAATTCGTTTGAATGAAGTTATTGCTTCCAAACTAAATGTTATTCGAATGTATTGAAATTATACACGTAATTAATGAAGATTACCATCCAAACAACTGCATTTGTACGCATAAGTGTATTTTATTGCTTATTCCGTCACAACGCATGAAATGACCCTCATGGTGACTTCGCACAAAAAAAAACACATGCAAATCATGAAAATGGCAGTTAATGTAGGGGTGTATAAAAGCCCATGTGCTTTCGTATTATATTCATTCATTTGTCGCATGAAAAGCTGTGTGAAAAATGCCACGATTGAGTGCTGCCGACCGAAATATCGCCATTGGTCGTGTTCAAGCCGGAGAAAGTTTTGGAACTGTTGCACGGCACCTAAATGTTCACAAAACAACGATATCCCGACTTTGGAGCCGCTACAACAACTTCAATTTGACCAACGATCGCCCGAGAAGTGGAAGGCCAAGAATCACGACCCCCCTTCAAGATCGGTACATCCGGGTCCATCACCTGCGTAATCGGCATGCCCTACCAACCGTGACTGCCACACAAATACCAGGTTTGAGAGTGTCAGCTCAAACGATTAGGAACCGTCTGAAAGAAGCGGGTTTACGTGCCTGTAGACCAGTTGTTGGACCTGTACTACGCCCCCTACATCTCCGCCGACGACTCAGGTGGTGCAACAACGTAAGGATATGGACTTTACAAAACTGGAGGCGCATCTGGTTTCTGATGAATCCCGTTTTCTTTTGCAACATCACGACGGAAGAAAACGTGTGTATAGGAGACGTCATGAACGTTTTGCGCCCATCTGCGTCCGACAGGGGGACAGATTTGGCGGAGAAAGCGTTATGGTTTGGGGATCCATCTCATACAACCAGAAATCAGACTTGGTGATCGTTGAAGGGAACCTGACAGCCCAACGTTACATCAACCACGTATTACAGCCTCACCTTCTCCCGATTATTGACCAACAGACACAGATTTTTCAACCAGACAACGCCCGGCCTCATACTGCACGTGCAACAATGAACTTTCTGCAGAATTCCAACGTCAATGTCTCGCCGTTGCACTGCAGGAGGAGTGGAGAGCCATTCCCCAGGAAAGAATCCGGCGTCTTATCCGTTCTTGTCCAAGGAGATGCCGTGCAGTGATTGCAGCTCGTGGTGCTCATACGAGATACTGAGAAAGACGCCCCCCTGGTGACAAACTGGTGTCTGTGAGATGACTTTTGAAATGACAATTTTAAACATGCCCATCTTGGTTATTATTCTGCCAAATTTCAGACTTCTGTCTTAAATAATAAAAATGCTGTGTCGTCTTAAAACTTCAGATCAAAATCTCTAAAATACAGGGGTTGCGTTTCTTTTTTGACAGAGTTTATATACACGCGTGCGAGAGAGTTTTCACACTATTCAGTTAAATGAGTATTTCTGAAGGTTTTTGTTAAAGATTTTCCGCACTTGTTCAGACTTCAGTTATTTTCCAAAGAGCATAGAACAATTGAACAGAAAGAAATTAATATTTTAAACTACCTTTTAATACACAGTCCGTCAGCTAATCAAACTGTACAAATCTTCACAAATCACTGAACATCGGTGTGAAAGGCTTGTTGATAATCTGGGGATTGATGTTAAAGCAAAACGCAAGCTTTGAACTGAACCAAGAACTGTATTAAAAGTCTCTCCAAATAAATCTGAATGAAATGAGTAATTGTCAACTTCCTTCCTTGAATAGAAAGGCCAAGCTGGCGAGCTTTCTTTTCAGCAATGACTTCGTCGACTCTGACTGGGAAGTCCTTGTGTCCATGGATCAAACAGAGGCTGCTGAACCGATCCTGTCCCATGGACGAACGCAAATAGGTCTTGACACGTCTCATCATGGAAAATGAACGTTCAGTAGTTGATGTTGCCACAGGTATTGTCATCAGGATGGCTAACATAGTGTATATGTTTGGGTAAAGGTCTTGATTAATACCTTCCAGCGTTTCCAGAATAGTTTCAGGCTTTCTGTCAACTTGGCTTAACTTAGTCACCAATCTATGTATTTCATTTTCTGCTCCTTGATGATATGGCAGTTCAGCAGCATAATGAGCCAGGATCTCGTGCTCTACATCTGCAGTCAGGGCAAGTAGTTTAGAAGGGATAAGACCCTGTGCAAGGAAGCGCCCCTCTGGAGCGACCAGTCGATCTTCTATTTCCGAAAGCAGGTGATCCACAAAAGGCAGGTACAGCGCTCTCTTGTAGTAGACTTGGGGTGTCTCAGCCGGAACGTTGACTCTATGCCGCTGTCGTCCAGCTAAACGAGGGATCTTTGCTTCAACGTCATGATTTTGGCCGACTTCAACAGCTTTTTGGAAAAGCTCTGTCCATACTCCATTGTCATCACGTTCATCTCTGAGCACAGTTTTGACAACTCTTGCTTCTTCCACAGCTTCCACAAGATCAACCGACTTCTTTTGCAGAACTTTGGAAAGAACAACGGTGGACTGTACTACATGTTCAGCTGTTACTAAACTTATGATAAAATCAAACCTGAGGATGTTGTTGAGATGGCTTGATGCTTTGTCATCCCCCATGTCTTTGAGGTTATCCAAAGCATCCACAACAACGTCAAAGCAGCTCAAGAACGTGAACAAGGCATCAGCTCGTGCAGACCATCTTGTCTCACAGAGGGTTCGCAACTTCTCCCTCTGCTTCATGTCATTTGAGGTTGAACTGAGGCTCTCTTTGAACTGGTCCATGCGCTTGGCAGAATATGAAAAGTTAATTTCTTACACAGTACTCATCATATTGCACACTAACTGTTCTGATGAAGCGTGAACAATTGCCAGATTGAGACAATGGGCTTGGCAATGCTTGAACACCAAGATGGACTCCCCGCATGTTGGACGCACTGTCGTAACCCGGGCTTTTCATTTTTGTTATGTCAATGCCAAAGCTCTCTAAAGTTGCAATAAAGTTCTGCGCCAAAGCATCTCCAGTTCAGCTTTTAGCTACGGTAAAGCCAAGCAAATCTTCCCTGACCTCAAGTTTACCTTCAGGTTGAGAACGTATGAACCTCACACAAATAGCAACCTGTTCTTTTGTTGATGCATCTGTTGCTTCATCAGCAATGAGTGCGAAACAAGGAGCTTTGTTGCACTTCTTGACAATATCTTCACGGATCTGACTAGCTACAAGGTCGATGATATCATTTTGTGTGGGGGAAGACAAATATCTTACCCTGGGATCTCCACATTTGAGATGCTCTGCAAGTACAGGATCAGTTTCTGCTCTGTGTTCCAATATAGCAATGAAGTCACTGTCCTCCTCTGTGTGACCACGTATTGGGATATTTTGACGACCACATAGAATAATGGTCTCAACAACTGCCCGCACAATCACTCGGTTTTTCTCAACTGTACTTTGTAATTGAGTGCTAAGTTGTTGTTCAATCGGATACTGCTCTCCCTTGAATACAGATACAAAATTGTCAGCTTGGATTGCGCACTCGTAGTGTTCGCTGCCGTCTTTCAAATGACGTACAATAATAGTTGTCAGGTTTTTCCAATCAGTTACGGGTGATGAAGAAAAATATGCCTGTTTATTGTACTTCGATCCAAAAATGTAACATGGTGCGCAATACAGTACATCGGCTAATAGTTAATACCGCAACCATTTATACTGTTCGCAAATCTTGAATGGAACTCGTCGTTTTAATTTCCCGAATGTTCTACAACAAAGGTAGAAAAATAAGATTTAGTAAGAATTAGATAGATAATAAAGAAAGTATGATTTTGTATATACTTTTGCAGTGTTCCTTTGCATATGTATTCCTAATAACTGGCAGGATTGTACCTTGATATTGACATATTTTGCTTAAGGGAATTCCTTCCTACCCCAAAAGCCCTTCCAAAACCCCTACGCATGTCGAATTTCAATAATTAATCTACTAAATTCATTCAGTGTCAACTGTAAAATCAAGGAGACACAAATGCGAAGATGACATTGCTTTTACTCTAAATGGATAAAATGGCTGTGAATGACGATGTTTTATCTATAAACCGATCAGCTGATATGCAAATGGAGTCAAGGTCGTGTATAAATAAGCGCATGAAATATATTTTTTTATACTAATGGTGAAATACTAATAGATTTACTAAAATTAGAGATATATGTATGCACACAAGCATAGCTCATACACATACAGGGCCTGATACCTTTTCACTTGAGTAGATGAGAAACAACGCTTTGTAAACTTTGTCTTTCAATTTTTCTTGTTTTCATTGGAGATGGCAATGCAGATAATGCCTTATGGCATTATTTCTGTTATTATTTATCATCTACTGACATAAACGTGCGTTTATTCAAATGTAAAATTACCTTTGAGGAAATGCAAATGCATGAGCATTTAACCATTCTCCTGTTAGAAAGGCCTGTTTCGTCGCAGGTTTTGCTGCTTCTCCTCCGTTCAGTGCAGCTAAATCTGGATATGGGGGTGCACTACTTGATTTAATTGGAGTTTTAGTTTCAATAGCAGGCTCATCAAAGTTATTTGAGCAGTGGGGCTCCTCCAGACTTGGCCGGAAAATGTCAGAATTTTTTCTCTGCATCTCAAAATGCTGAGGTTACGCCATATCACGCCCAGAGTTATATCCCTTTGTATGTCAAGGGACGCAATTGCAAGCTCAATAAGAGACAGACGTCGGGAACTCAACATGTATCGCTTTAGGAACATGAGATTTATTCTCGTGATTTTTTAAAACTAATTTTAACAGTGTATATTTATTATACGTACATATCCATGCTTTCAGCATGTGGAAATATTATCACCTGTAACATTTTTCTTTCTTTATTTCCAAATTAATTATTTCCTTTTTGTATATTTTTTTTTACAAAATTATGTGTCGGAAATTGCCTTTTGGCCTATATGGCAGCTATGCCCCTAATACTAGCCCATGAGCCTGTAAAACATTGGCTAGCTTCGGCTGCATTTCCGTAAACTTGCATAAACATATCAACGTTTATACGTGTGCATATAGGGCGCTACCCAAAATTACTATTCTGTTTAGACAAAATGAAAATGCAATGCATGGTAGAAGCGGATGGGATGAATGTTGTGGCATCAGTTGATGCTGAGCGGTGGAACTCAGGGAAATACCAGTATAAGTGAATGTTGCTTGAGCAAACCTTAGCTTTCACCAAAATACGCAGTCACTCCAATAACAGGCAAACAGATCATTGGAATGGGTATTCTTTTGCGAGTATAGCAATTAATGTGAGAAGAATGTCCGGTAAAAGTGTTAAACCAATTCAACTTCCATCGAGAATAAACTATTTTTTAGCCCCAATGACTATGTGGCAGGTGTTGCACATGCTTGGACTATTCCACTTGTTGCGCTCAGGCGTATGTCCTGAGTTGCTTTTCCATCACCTTTAAATCTTGCTCTTTACATCGTTTTGTGATGCTGAACATTTTTCGAGACTGATCAACGCAACCAGTGAGTGTGTCATAGGCGTAAACAACATGCGCGCGTGTGCGTGCGTGCGTGTGCGCGTGCGTTTAACTTTTTTAACACCGCACTCAGCAATATTCAACCTACTAGTATATGACTGCTAAATGAGTAGATAATTGAGTCTGGACAAGACAATCCATCAGGATCATTAGGATCGGTGCACGCAATTGGGATACGATAACATGTGTCAACCAAGTCAGCGAGCCTGACCACCCGATCCCGTTAGTCACCTCTCACGACAAGCTCGGGTTACTGAAGACAAAGTCTAACCGGGATTCCTGACTAAAGAAAGTGAAGTGATACATTTGATTAGTGCTTAACCATCGTCAAACTGGGTGTCTTTTAAACGTTCACCAGACGACAGCAAAACACCAAAAGCACCATAGAGATAATTAAATCCCACGCGATATATGTTGGTAAATGTTCTCCAATAATCTTGTCAACACTTTTTCCGAGTTGTGACACTTTTGGAATATAAAACTTCAACCAGATTCAACCAGATTGCCTCCCCAATGCATGTACAGTTCTCAGGTGATTTTTTTTAAAAGGTTAAAAGGGATCAGCCTAGTAGTTAAAACATTTCCTAGTGGGATATTAGGAAAATGTGTTGATAAAAGCGGCGTAAAACCTTACTCACTCACTGAAGCGAAAAAGGTTAATTTATTCAGTAACCCGAAATAGGTGCAATTTCAACAACCTAATTAACATGTTCTTTTGTCAATTATTAAACCGAGTTAAACGAAACTATTGACACAAATCCTCGAAGCTATCATTCATATCACCAGGCCTCCAGCATCGAAAGAGTCAAACAATATCAATTATATACAAATTTCACGAACAAATTCACAGCCATCGTGTTGATAATGAATAAATTACAATGTAATGTTTCTAACCCCAGGGACACTAGCATATGTGTAGATTGTTATCCCTACTATGTATATTCATCAGATAAGTCTGTGTGGCACAGATACGCTGACAATAGTTCATGTATATGCAACCAATTTATCGTGTGCGTATGATAATATAATCTAACGGTATCTGGGCATGGTTACATGATGTGACGGGTTCTCGTTCTTCGATCCTCCGCGCAGCGAGAATTACGCTGAACACTGGCGAAATTATAGTCCATAATAAGCAAATTTGTATTCCGCGAAGATACAGCCGATCCATTTTTGGAAACTATCGAGAATTTGAATTGTGTTCCCTTTAAAGACTCTTGTTACACTTGCGTTGAAGCTGGGCCAGCTGGTGAGATTAAGAGATCATTTTAAAAAACAAATACTAACTATTCGGAAGATAAGTTATTTTAAACAATCACGTGGATCAATGTGTTCATATGCTTGTACGGGATGTATAGACCACCAGCAAATACAACTTGGCCACATTATTGGAGAACGTTGGGCACATACCTGCACTGATGTATACTATGGTGTATTTGTATTTGGGATTACATTGTATAAGTACTAATTCTAGTACTTTTTGGGTTGAGTGAGTGAGTGAGTTAAGATTTATATTCACATCGGCAATATTTCAGCCATATTGTGACTTAAAAAAGTTATAAATTAATAATAAACGCAATTAAATTATTTAAAAAACTGTCGACAAAGAACAGTGAAATTATTAGATTATCACAGTTAGAGAACTGAAAATAACAAGTACCTCCTAAGATTATACAAATGGTACAGACAATGTAATATAAAAACGGGCTACAGATCACCAGCAACTGAAGGTAGATCACCATGCTAGGGACCATGGGGACTTACAGTACTTTAGCTACCTGCATGGACCCTAGCCTGATTTACATCGTACTTTCAGCCGTTGGTGATTGTAGGAAAATTTAGCCATAAATTAAAGTAACAAAAATGCTACGTTTTAAAATATTCGGTAAGCTAAATTTACCTTGAATATTTTGGGACTTACATACCGCCATAGGAGGACAATGATTTTACAATACTTCAACCCCCTGTGAGGATACAGCCACTCACAATCCCAGTTGTTCAATTAAACTGCTAATAATAAAATATTTCTCTATTTACAAATTATTTATCAAAACTTATGTAACAATTCTATTTCTTTTAAACTTTTTGGGTTGTGTCTCATCGGGAGTTGTACCCACACTCTCCGAGCGAGGTACCTACTCGTCAGCAAATATACAGTCCGTTTGAGTCAGAAACGGACCGATGAATTGCAAATATGATCATTGTACAAAATTGCCACAGAAATATAAATAGTACACATGTTTATCA